GGCCAGCAATGGGAGTTAATCTGGAAGATGGGTAGAGTGAATGGTAATATATGACAACAGTAAGTGCCCTTACCTAGCTTCCTCCTTTTTCTAGGTCAAGATACCCAACTAAACACAACTTTCCATACTCCCTCTGCCCAAACTTCAGCTTCTAAAACCCTTGTGTGCCCCACAAAGAAAAAAAACACGTAACATAAAAAAAAATCCCCAGTATATAAATATTAAGGTGCTATTTTATTTTTAAAAAGACAGTCTCCTCTCTATTCAGCTGAAGATTAGGAGAGTTGTTCCTTGTGATCAAACAGATGACCACAGTTACTTGGCTTATGATACTCGTTGAGAAAGAAGCCTCTAGTAATTATAAGTAAGGGAGTTTTAAGATTGAATGAAACACTTAAGAGCAAACAGTAAAACCTAGAAATGCTTCCCATTTCTAACATTCTAAATCTTTAACTCTGAGAGAAAAAACCCACTTACTTACCTTTCACAACTGTTGTTCTTCAAGATGCCATTGCCAAAAGGTGTCTGTGCACACAAATGAGTAGTCTCTAGAAAGCTTTTACCCTAGTGGTATTTGTAGGGCTGACTGTAGAGACCCCTGGTGTGATGCTGCTATCGTGGCGCACACAAGACACAGCTGCCCCTCCCACCCTCTCAGTTCCTTCTTTCCAGTAAATTCAGACAGTGGGGAGGTTGGTGGGATTTGCAACGAACATGAGCAACACATCTTGAAAAACAACAGTTACAAAGGCAAGCAACCATTTTTTCTTCTTTTTCAAGTGATTGCTCATGTGCATTCCAAAAGGTGACTTACCAGCAGTTCTCTTGGGAGTGCTGGAAGTCAGCTTGTGGCCAAAGCAAAAACCATCTTGCTGAATCCTGCGTCATCCTGCATGTGCTGTGTGATGGCGTAGTGTGACATGAAGGAGTGCACAGATGACCTCACCACCGCTCAGCATATGTCCTTAATTGGAACACTCTCAAGGAATGCCACTAAGAAAGCCTGAGCTCCGGTGAAGTGAACTGTCAGTGGAGTAGCCGAGTTAGTCTGTAACTAGAAAAATGTAAAAAAACAAATTGTCTTGCAGCACCATAAAAGACTAACAAAACCTGAAGATGGTATCATGAGCTTTTGTCGCATGACATGAAAGGTATGAATAAAGACATTGGCTGGATGTGCCGCTACATTCCACATCCTAATGACATAAAAAACCAAACAACGGGTACTTAAGACCAATTTACAACTTCTCTATCAGCTTCATGTAGCATGGAGACTCTATTTCTTTCCTTCTCTCCCCCCATTCCCTAGTTATTTCGAAACTGTATCTTTAATAACTCCCCTTCATCTGAAGAAGTGGGTTGTGCCCACAAAAGCTCATGATGCCATCTACATATTTTGTTAGTCTTTAAGGTGCTGCAAGACTATCTGTTGTTTAAGTTTTTCCAGTCAGTGGAGGATATGGCAACTTCACTGAGTCATAACACATACAGGACATGATCCAATGGGAAAGTCGTTGAGAGGAAAGACTCTTCATTCTCTCTCCTAGTGAAACAACGAGTTGCAGAGATTTCCTAAACTGTTTTGTTCATTCTACATAAAAAGCAAGGGCATGTAGAATATCCACAGGTTCTAGCAGATGTTCCCCATCACAGATGTGGAGCTCTGGATAGAATACAGGAAGGAAGAAAGTCTGGTTGAAGTGAAAATGGAAGATCACTTAGGCAAAAAGTCCATGTGAGGCCACAACTGTACTTTGTCCTTATAAAAGACAGCATATAGAAGTTCTGCTGTGAGTGCCCAGAGCTTGGAGACCCTCCTGGAAGAGGTTACCAGGCAAGCTACCTTCCAGATAGATATGACAGCGGACAGGTGGCCAAAGGTTCAAAGGGAGGGCCCATCAGTTTGGTGATCAGAAGAATCAAAGTTCCACTGGGGAATAGGCTGCCTGTCCTGTGGGTACAGTCTGTGAAGCTCTGGAGAAAATGGGTTATCACAAGATCCATAAACACAGAGTGAGCATGACTCCCTACACAGAACGTGGAAATGGCTGCTAGGTGAACTCTTATAGAGGACAGAACTAGCCTTTGCTGCTTTAAGTACAGGAGGTAGTCTAGAATGACAGACATGGAGGACTGTTGGGGCCAAAGACCCTTGTGCTGGCACCACAAGAAAAACAGTTTCCATTTGGTTTGGTAAGTAGCTCTGGTGGATGGCTTTCTCCTTCTCATGACGATTTCCTGAACTAGACTGGAGCAACCTGCCCTCATGAGGTTCAACCATGGAGCATTCACACAGTTAGGTGGAGGGACTACAGGTTGGGGTGGCAACATGCTGTGGTCCTGAATGATGAGATCTCTGCAGAGAGGAAAGATAATGGAAGTGGCTCTGAAGAGGCTAAGCAGCAAGTTGAACCAATATTGTTGGAACCACGCTGGAACTATGAGGATAATCAAAAAACTCTTTTATTGATTTTGAGGATTCTCAGAATCAGTGGAAACATGGCAAAAGATGCATAATGTGTGAGGTGCCCAGGGGAGGTGAAATGCTTCTAACAGTGAGCCAAGCTGCTGCCTACAAAAGAGCAATGCATTGGACACTTGTGCTGGCCCTGCAAACAGGTTTACTGGGGAAAGCCTCACCCCTAGGAGACTGGTAACAGAATGTCTGTCCTGAAAGATCATTCACGGTTGGAAAATGAGCAGTGCAGTTGGTCTGCCAGCTCATTAAACACTCCTGGGAGAAATGAAGCTTGCAAGGTTGTGTCATTGGCACTGCAAAATTCCCACAGCAGTAGGAATTCCTGGCACAAAGGAGGGGAGAGAACATTACCCTGCTTGTTCACATAAAATGTTGCTGTGGTGTTGTCCATGAACATTTCCATGCACATGCCCCTGAGGTGGTCCCTGAAGACCTGGCAAGGCAGGCAAATGGCCCATAGTTCCCTCGTATTTATGTGCAGGTAGTTCCACTCTGGGACTACAAGCCCTGAGTCTGTAATTGGCCAAGATGGGCGCCCCACCTGTGGGCAGAAGCATCTGTCATCAGCCACTATTAGGGTCTCAATTTGGAGAAGAGAACTCCTGCACAAACTACCTGGTGCTATAACCACCCATCAAGTGTTTTCAGAATGTGAAGTGACTGGACCACTATCCTGTCCAATGGGTCCTGTTCTGGCACCAACCAGACAGGTATGGAGGTAAAGAGGGGTGTGCTGCATGATGTACATGCAGGCTGCCATGTGCCTTAGCCTCAAGTAAATCCTGGCCATGGTCATCGGAACTTCTTGAGGTTTAGGATGAGGAGGCCTCCAAGCACATCTCCAGGAGTGATGCCCTGACTATTGTGAGGTCTACAAAGGCCCCTATGAACTCTAAGTATTGGGTTGGAGTTAAGAGTGGATGTCGGAGTACGGAGGATAAGGCCCAGACTTCAGAATGTTTCACATGCTATGTCCACATGCTGAATCGCCTGATCATGAATCGGCCTTGATGAGCCAATTGTCCAGGAACAGGAATACCTGAATGAGGTACTTGTATAGAGGAATGCTGCCATAGCCAACATACATTTTTTCAAGACTCTTGAGGTGGTCAAGAGGCATAAGGACAATAAAATGGTAATGCTAGCCTTGTACCACAAAGTGCAGGAACCATCTGTGGGAAGGGATATATGGAAATAAGCGTCCTTCATGTTGAGGGCGATCTACCAGTCCTCCAGGTCTAAGGATGGGATAATGGTAGCCAAACACACTATGTGAAAGCATATTTTCATAATAAATGCATTGAAGTTCCTAAGAACCAGTATGGGCCAGAGGCCTCCTTTTGCTTTTGGGATGAAGAGGTATCAGGAGTAGATGCCTCTGCCCCTTAACTCCCATGGTACATCCTCTCGCTCACAAGGTTAGGAGTAATTGTACTTCCTGCATGAGGAACTGTTGGCAAGACAGGTCCCTGAAGAACAGTACCTAAGTTCAATGCCTTTGCTGTGGGTAGGACAGAAATAGTTTTCTGCCAGAGTACCTTAGTGGACTTTATGAGGGGCAATGCCATTCTAGATGGCCACTCAGCTGTAAGGATGTCAACCATGAGGTCAGAGTCCTCTATCACCTCCTCGGCCTGCAGATTCAGGTTCAGGGCAACCCTGTCTTGGAGATCTGGAGAGGTGCTAAGGTACATGGCCAGCACAGAGGAAGCAGTGACCATAACTAGGACCTCTGTGTCCTCCACCTGGGTTGGAGAGGACTGTGCTTGAGCCATGAGCAGGGACAGTCTGAAGGCCTGGTGTAAATGGCATTGCCGGTGGCACAAGTGGTACCTAAGGGTGCTATTTTTTGCCATCCCCCACCAAAGCAGAGGTGGGGACCAGAATGGGTGAGTGGGAACCCTGGGCACCAACACCTCCAAGACCGGCTTTGACACTGGCTCTGGGTTAGGTGGTAGGACCATGGGATCCACAATTGCCAGTTCATGGGCATTGGCCATTAAGAATGCCAGGAGGCTTGTGCTGATATCTCCTGGAATAGCCAGTAGCAGGAGTGGTGCTGTGTTGTATAAAGCCTCTGCCCAAGCTATTACTTGATTTACACATATATTTTCTGAAAATGCATTAAACTGTAAAGTCCTGCCAACACATAACATACGGAACTACAAAATCTGTTGCTGACTGCATTGCTGTGAACACTGTTTAAAGGGGGTAGTTGTCTTCTAAGTCACTTTATTACTGATGATTTGTAGATGATTAAGATGGGAATTGTTCTCAGTCAGTTGATGTGCTCTGGAAGGTATCTTTGTAACCGCTGAGCTTTGAAGCTTTGTAATTGTTTCTTTGTAACTATCAGCTACTTTACCTTTTAAATTCTGCAACTTGTAAGATTGTTGAACTTTGTAATCTTTGTAACTCTCAGCCACTTTGCTTTATAAAGTGAGGTCAGGGGACTGGACTCGATGACCTCTTGAGGTCCCTTCCAGTTCTAGTGTCCTATTATTCTATGATAAATTCAGAATCTTACTGTAAAAGCTTGGTGATTGTTGAGCTTTGAAATTTTGTAATCTTTGTTTTTGCTTGTAACTTGCTTTAAGCTGCATTCCATCCTGTGATAAGAATAGGTGTGTGAATAGAAACTGGAGTGTTTGGGGTGAGGGAAACAGCAAGGCTAAACACGTAGAGCCAGGAACCAGGCAGACACTAATTAAAGCAATCACAGAGAAACCTCTGCTCTAAGCAAACAAAGGACCAGGATCAAGGGAGGTCTGGGCATGCTCCTCGGTAACGAACATGGAAGAAAGACCCTACCTGCATGAGAGGAGCTGTCCCGTTCCAAACAAAAGGAAAGAGCATGTGGCAGAAGCTCTTTCTTATCAGCTTGCCAGCTGGGATCAATAGCTAGAGGCAAACCTCTGGAATCAATATGCCTTGGCTCACTCTTCAACCTTTTGCTTGTGTAAGTGTAAAAGTGCTTAAGAGCATAAATGAATGTGTGTGAATGGATAAATGAATGTGTTTGTGTGTGAGTGAGATAGCTGGTTCCCCTTGAGTTTAACCCTATAGTTGCATTCAATGACAGCTCAATCCCTTTTACTTTAACTCTATAGTGGATTGTTAATTCCTCATCTAATAAATCCATATGAGTATAACCCTGGGGTGGCCCCCAATGAAATTTGGAGTAACAAACAGAACTGACTGGGGGAGGAGACCAATGACTTTTCTCAGATGAGTACTCAGTGCTGGATGAGAGGGATGCCAACCCTGATGGTGCCAGGGAATGGTACGAGAAAGAGGCTGAGACCCTGGTAAGTGTGGCTGTCTTGCCCTGGTAATGCCTCAGTGGTGCCGCCATCATAAACAGGGCTATCACCACTGGTGCTCTAGGTATCAGTGCCGTCAGCAATGTGTTGCACTTGATGGTGACATAGGCATCAGCGCCACAGCTACAGTTATCAGTGCCATAGGCATTGGTGTCCGACCTAACGGTGCCATGAGTACCGGAGCTGCAGTCAATGGTACTGGCATCTGAGTTATTAGCGGTACTGATGACAATGGAGTGGCCATCACCAGTGCCAACTCTGGTGCATCTGTGAGGCTTGGTGCAGTGCTGCTCTCGACTGCAGTAGGGCATGTGACTATCCATGCATCAGTGACACAAAAGATGTCTTCTCAATAAGGTCCCTGGCAGCCTTGAAGGTGTCTGACATCAATGGAAGATCATTGTCCTGCTCTCACTGGTATCCTCATGGGGAGACTACAACCACAGGGCTCAATGGTTAGGCTGAAGCTGATGGTGTTGTGAACAGCAATGCCATGTGGGTGCCCCTGTGCCAGGAGCACCCAACTAGGGACCTTATGGTTACAGGCCTCTATCTGCTTCTCTTCTTGATCAGCATCTGGACTGTGATCCATGCCACACGCGTAATCTCATATAATGGGAGAAGCGGTACCTATAGTCCAAGTGTATTTTGGTGCTGGGTCACATGGGGGCACTGTGCACCACCAGTGCTGAGGGTGGCCCTGGCGCTGAGGACCAAAGTCGCTTGAGGCGGTGGTCCCTCTCCTTCACTGTTCAAGGACAAATGTTATTATAGATAGGGCATTTGTCCCTTTGATGTCCATCACCCAGACACTTAAGGAAGTTGTCATGAGGGTCACCTTTAGGCATAAGCATGCCAAAGCTCTCACAGACTTTGAACTCTTGAGAATGCAGCAAGCTCCGAAGAAGGGGCCAAAGTGTGTGTGGGGAAAACCCCAATAAACTATTAGAATTATGTACACCAAATATCTAACTAGAGAACCATAAACACTAAGATTGTTGAGAAGCTTGCTATGAGACCAAAGCTGCTCCAGCGACTGTCATGAGCGGTAAGAAGGAACTGAGAGGATATGTGTGGGGGTCAGTTATGACTTAAATGCACTGCCATAGTGGCGCCATGCTAGGGGCTTAACAGTCGACCCTACAGATACCGCTAGGGTAAAAGCTTTCCATAGACTGTGCACATGCATGTGCACTCCCCTCCCCGTCCTTTTGGAATGGACATGAGCACTCAACTCAAAGAGCTGCTCCTTAATAATTTTATCATTTCAGATGAGTAAGTCAAACCTAAATTCCCCAACACAATGAGAATTAATAGACAAATGCCTCACAACCATATTCTCCAATCCATGCATTTTGGACTTGAACATTTCCGGACTTTTGAGAGAGCGGAGAATCAGCATTTTGTTTTAAGTTATCTAATGTTAAAATTACATACATGAATGAATCCAGCATATTTTTTGTCTATTTCCACCAGCTGCTGGTCAGCTTTGTTCCGCATAGAAGGCTCTGGATCTGTGCCCATAGCAATTAAATATGGCACACACTAGAGAAAAAAAAACAAAAAAACAACAACAAAAAAAAAACAGATGAAAATATATAAAGGCATTATACACCAAAAACGTATGTGCACTGCTCTATGCATATATTTATCTCACCTTATTTTTTATGTTAAATTGTTAGTAGCTGAACAACTAGAATATAGCACCTTATGTGACTTACTGCCTCAGGATTTCTTTAATGCAATAGCACAAGTTATCAAGAGGAGAGTTGACTTAAGGAGACCAGCACAGTAAAAAAATAAAATCTGTTCCAGACACAGGTGGTATTCCCAGTATCTTTCTTCCACTGGAATACACTCTAGGACAGGGGCGGCCAACCCATTTAACAAAGAGAGCCAAAAGAGCGGCGGAAAAAACGTGAAGAGCTGCACCAGAATTGTCAAGCAAAAAATAAACAAACTCCAGAACAGAATTGCCAAGCAAAAAAACAAAGACCCCCCCAGAACAGAATTGTCAAGCAAAAACAAAAACATGTAAAAAAAATTTTTTTTTAAAAGGAGCCTGCCCCTTTAAGATCGCCACCATCTTGGGCGCCATTTTTAAAACCTCGCAGCTCCCACCTGGTAAGCACAGGGAAGCCAGAGGCCGGGGGGGAGGAGGAGAGGGGAGTCGGTGGGGAGCAGGGACCGTTTAGGAAGGGGGCACACAGGAGTGGCTTCGCGAGTTGCACTTTTTGGGGGGAAAAAGCCAAATGCAGCTTGCGAGCCGCATGTTGGCTACAGCTGCTCTAGAACCCCACACTAGAAAAATCAGGTGTTTTTAGCAATTTGTTAATCTATTTTAAACACCATTTAGCACCTCTGGAGACAAAGATAGCAGTGTTTCAAAACATGTTCATAGCCAGTCCCAGGGTCCTTGATCCAGGTGATTAAGGTTGACTACAACTTACCAACATAGTTTGAAACATCAATGTCTTGCCAACACCAGGTGCTGACAACAGTTGGAAGTGGTATTTAAAAATTTAGAAAACATATTTGCTGAACTCGCATTCAGTTTCTGAGTATAGATAGGGTCCACTAGTTTGTCTCATTGCAAGACTGAAACCTGGAAGCTATTAATATATTTTAAATATATGGGTCTCAAGTAAACTTTTACAGACTTTGTTCTGGGAATTATCAAGTTGAGACTTGAGATATCTCCTCAAGATTTACCCAGAAGTCTTCCACAACAGAAAGGGGGGTAAGAAAGAATCTGTGGGAGATTATGGATATACAGGCAGTCCCCGGGTTACGTACAAGATAGGGACTGTAGGTTTGTTCTTAAGTTGAATTTGTATGTAAGTCGGAACTGGTACATATTGTAGGGGAAACTCTAGCCAAACATTTCTCCAGAGCTCAGTTTTATTCTCCCACACCTCACTTCCCTCAGTCCTTTATTCTCAAGCTGAGGTGTCTGCTGAGAAAAGCCGCTCCACGTCTCCCTGGTCTGCTGGGTGGGGCGCTAGCTTCGTGTCTCCCTGGTCTGCTAGGGGGAAAAGCAGCTAGTGCAGGGTTGCCTCACCCCGTTTGTAAGTAGGGATCCGATGTAAGTCGGATCCATGTAACCCAGGGACTGCCTGTATGTAAGTAAATTAGTCTTCCCTTGGTAGCCATAGACCTATGAATTTTCACTGTAATAAACAAAAAACACTCTTTAGTGAAGATTCATACATGAAGAATATTACTGGAAAATAAACCATGCATAGCTCTGCCATTAGTTCTGGAACTTCAAGTAAAAGCAGATTTTGGGGAAAAAGAGGAATGTGCTGGTAAGAAGATATAATGAAAGGAATCTGAAGATGACAGACCATGGATGTAAGTATGCCTGAATACTGAAGTCTGACACTTCTAAAAGAAACAAGTGCATTCTATCATATTTTTTAAGCAGCACTTATTAAATGTAAATTCTAATTTAATTTCTAAGCCAACAAAAGGTTAGTCTTTGGCATGCCATTTGCCTTTCAATATAGAAGAGTTCTTGAGATCTGTTGTTTGGAAATTCTGTTTTTACATACCAAGTCATCCCAAAAGAAGCAACTATTCTAACAGATTTAGGTGGACAGGGGACAAACACACACACTGGAAGTTTATCAAGCAGCCACAAGAAAATCTGACATCCTTTTGCATAACCCCCCTCCTCACACACACACCTAAACAAACAAACAAACAAACAAACAAATAAAGAATCCCCTCTCCCCCACACACAAACACAACGTATTATCATTACATACCTGAACCGGATGGATAAGGCCCTGGTTTAATGTCAGTGCAATGACATTTAGAGCAAAGTGGCGTACACTGGACTGTGCATGAAAGAAAGCCTCAAGAACCTGTTTCAGATACAGTTGCATGATGGAGCTGCTCATCCCTGAGGAAATATCACCCATTTCTTTCAGATCCTCCTGTTTAGCTACTTTCTTCCCTGTAGCAAGGAACAAAAGCAATTGTTTGTGTCAAGATATTCAGGCAACCACTAACTTTCTCGACACAAACCAGTCTTCATATTCTTTATGAGATACTTAAGTTGCAGCTATATGAGTAATTAAATTAATGTCATGTCATTCTCAGAGTGGTACCATAACAGTCTTGAAAATTTCTTCTTTTATTATGCCTGAAAATTAACAATTTCAGAAAGGAATTGGGTAACAAACAGTAAGTCACTATTTTAACTGCAATAATTTAAGTACTGCACATTTTGCATTTTTTCCATCAACTTAAAACTTGAACTTAAGAAAGGAACTCTCTATGCTGTGCCTCTCAGTATGGCTGTGTATAAAAGATACCTCTGAAATCTTTTTCTAATATATATATAGAATCAGAGAACTAGAAGGAACCTTGAGAGGGCAAGTCCAGACCCCTGCAATCATGACAGAACAAGTACTAATAAGAACATCCCTGACAGGTCTAATCTGCTCTTAAAATCTCCAATGATGGAGATTCCACAGCCTTCCTATGAATATTATTCCAGTGTTTAACCACTCTGGCATGTTTACAAAGCAGTGTTATTTTGGAATAACTGATACTATTCTGAAATAACATAGTCTCTGTCTACACTACAAGCAGTTATTTCAACATGATGTTGAAATAATGCTGAGCTGGAGGATTTCTTACTCTGACTCCTGTTACTCTTGTTTCATGAGGAGTAAAGGAAGTTGGAGGAAGAGTGCTTTTCCTTGGACATCCTGGTGTGTAGACAGTGCCAAAAACCAAAATAAGCTATTTTGACTTAAGCTATGCAATTGACATAGCTGAAGTTGCACAGCTTATTTCAGCATTAGCCCTGCTGTGCCCTCAGAGCTAGGAAATTTTTCCTAATGTCCAACCTAAACTTCCTTTCTGCAATTTAAGCACATTGCTTCTTGTACTGCCATCAGAGGTTAAGGAGAATTATTTTTCCTCCTTCCTCCTTGTAACAACCTTTTAGGTACTTGAAAGCTGTTATATCCCTTTTCAGTCTTCTTTTACCCCCAAACCCAATTTTTTCCAATTATCCCTCATAGGTAATGTTTTCTAAACCTTTAATAGTTTTTGTTTCTCCTCTCTGGACTTCTGAAAATTTTCCTGAAATGTGGGGCTCAGAACTGGATAGCTATTCCAGTCAAAGCCTAATCAGCACAGAACAGAGTGGAAGAATTACTTCTTGCATCCTGCTTACAACTCTCCTTCTAATACATCCCAGAATGATGTTTGCTTTTGCAACGGTGTTACACTGTTGACGCATATTTAACTTGTGGGTCCAGATCATTTTGAATTATAATTCTGTCCTCCAATGCACTTGTAACCCCTCTCAGATTGGTATCATCTACAAAATTCACTATGCCATTATCTAAATCACTGATCAAGATAGATATTGAACAGAACAGGACTCAGAACTGATCCTTGTGGAACCCAACTCTTATGTCCTTCCAGCATGACTGTGAACCATATCTAAGTACACTCTGGGAACATTCATCCAAACAGTTAATGTGCCCATCTTATAATAGCTCCATCTAGGCTGTATTTCCCTAGTTTATTAATGAGAAGGTTATGTGAGATTGTATCAAAAGCATTAAAAAGTCTACATCCGTGGTGTCCAACATGCTAGCCTCTAGCCACATGTGGCTATTTGGTCGGTTTAGTGTGGTTAGTTTGCTGTAGCTTTAGAATTGTTCGGATGCCACAGGTCTAGATCTCACATCTACAGTTTTCCCCTTATCCACAAAGCTCATAATGCTGTCAAAGAAAGCTATCAGTTTGGTTTGACACAATTTGTTCTTGATAATTCAGTGCTGACTTATCATCTTATTATCTTCAGCTCTTTGCAAATGGTTTCCATAATTATTTGCTCCATTATCTTGTGGCACATGAAAAATTAGACAAAAAAGTATGAAAATTTAAATCAAAATGTCCCTTTGTGCATAACAAAAGGTAGATTTTGAATGTTTAATACCACACTCATCACTCACATTCTCTATCGGCCTGCTGCATACGTGTATCCTCCTCCTGTAGATAGGTTTGGAGATTTTTTAACACCTGGATTTTTAAGTTTACTGAGCTGTTCTTATCAGACAGAATGCTGTTGTACAGAGTTTTTACCTCCTGTTCAAACATTAGACTTGGGTGTTGAATAAATGCAAACCCTGAAAAAAAAAAAAAGATTCCACTTGTTGTCTTGCAATTATTGTATCTACATTTTTCAAGGTAAACTAGAAAGTCTGCCATCATACATGCATACATGAAATACAGTTCAAAGAGTCACTCCAAAACTGGAAACACAATAAAAGAATGTTGGGTAATCATGAATTCTTGGTTTTATTCCAGGCTGTAAAGGGCAGTGTGATCTACTGCTTACACAGTCAAATGCACAACACATTAATTCTCAAATACTGCATGGCTAAATGAATTTATTATCAGCTTTGCTAGAAGTGACCTCATGAAATCACTCATTTATTCAATTTATAAAATGGGAAAATTTTACATGTCCCTCAAATAATAGAGGTCTGAGGTCTTGCTCAATCTTACACAAGTAGGAACGCTGAGACTTAGACATAAAAACTCTAAAATCATGTATTGAAAACTATTATAAAGGAAAAGAACTGTTTGCTTTTGTGACGGGGCACTTGAACCCCGCACTCATGCCGGTTCCATCCCAGTGCTGTGGGGAGTGCCGTCATCAGGGCGGAAGCGATGCGGTGCCTGTTCCCAGATGTCCATCTGGGGAAGAGGGCTCCCAAAGTGGGAGGGTGGAACAGTTGGTGCAGAACAGGGCAGGCACGCTGCATTGCAATGCCAGCAGGGCGTCCGGGCGAGCAATTTAAACCCGCCGGACACCGGGAAGGGGGAGGAGACCCGGTGTGACATCAGCACCGTGCTGGGGTGTCTGCGGGAAAGTCCGGTGGGAGAGGTGAACCCGGGGGACGCTAAGGAGGGAAGAGAGACTGACCCCAGAGCCCGGGGAGAGGGACTGATGGAAGGTGAACCCCCCCCCCAGAGACTCCAGAGCCACTACTGCAACGAGCCATGTGGTGGGACACTCTGAGGGTAAGGCTGCACTGTGTTTAGTGAATTGGAAGAGCCCTGGGATGGGGAAAAGAGTAGGAAGTGGCCCAGGGCAGGGCTCTTTAGGCCCACAGATTGACGTGCTTCAGGAGGATTTCCCATCAACCAGGTAGGGGAGCAGCTGTGACCCCACCTTAAGGCTCTGGGCCAGGACCCAGAGGAGAGGGAGGGCCCGGGTCCCCCTACTCCACCACTGGAGGCCGGAGATTGGCAATCGTGGACAAGTGGGGACTGTGATTTGTATAAGGACCAAAAGGTTGTGCTCGTGCGATAAGAGAGAGAGACTCCGTGGGGACTGGGGGTCACTCACTCGGGCAAGATGGCCAAGCCCCGGACTCGGGGTTGGATCCAGGTTGAGCACTATACACTGGGAGTGTATATATAGGACGTTGTATAGAGTAATAAACCGGCGGAGAACGCTCTTTTGAGTGACTCCATGTAACAGCTTTCCTTCCATCCCCCTGCCCAAAATGTAGAAACCTGATAGCTTTTGTTCTGTTGTGTGTGCATGTGTGAGGGGTAAAAGGATTGACTTTTCTTCTTATCACCTTTCACCCCCCTCTTCCCAATTTTAATCCAGAATGATAGACACCATCTGAGAGAAGTGTGTTTGGAGTAGCGGATTTACAACTTCACACAGCATTACAAGTGGCATGGATGCAGCTTCCCATGAAGAAGACTGGGAAAATGTCCATATTTTAGATCATTACTTGGTTTACTTGTCCTATATCTTGTTGATCCGTGTCTTTCAAGAATGGCAGATTTTGAATATCCCTTTAATTCTTCCTAGCCACCGGTGTTAAAGATTTTTAATGAGAAAAAACTACAATGTGCCAAAAAATATAATAAAAATAATAGAAGAATGAAAGAAAATGTGTGGAAAAACCCAGCATGAGACAGTGAAGGGGGCTGATTGTCTGAAATGAAGAAAATCAAGATTCAATAAAGTTGGTCTTTTGCACATAGATAAGTTAGTACAGAAAAAAGACTTAGTTCAGGAAAGAGCTCAGTTCATTTAATGGTTGAAAAAAAGGAAAGCAAAATGGGTAAGGATGATCTTTGGAAGGGATAATTAATAACTGCATGAATGTGCACTCAAATGTTGTTACCTGATCTTTTCTAAGCAAATCTGATCTACTTTTTGAAAGAGATTTTAAATTTAAATAATTATTTTTATGGTATCACTTTCTTTCCACCAATCACTGATTTAAATGAATTCTATGACAACAATTTCCATGGAAAATTCTTCTTTTTCTTTCTAAGAAGTTTATCTTATTGCTTACTATGTCAAAAAGTGTCAGATGAGGGAAAATTCATTATCTAACAATTTTCTTTAACAATTACCTCATCTTTAGTTTTCCTCCACCTGAATATAAATTCTTTCGGTATTTTTAAGATAACGGTTTCAGGGCTCGTGTAAGTAATTAAAAGAGCTGTATAAAACATTAATCTTAAGAGGTTATGTTTTGTCTGCTAGTAACGGTTTAATATTTCCATACTTCTATGGAAGTACACATATGAAGCATAAAGAGTGTGGCCAACCCTTGGATACTTGTACACAAGTCAAACCTTGCAAGAAGTGGCAAATATCTTGCTGGCTATTATCCAGAAAGGAACTGTCAGAGCCTAAGTTAGTTAAATTCCTGTTTATATCTAAGGGGAAGAATCTCAGCTTCTTAGCAAACTGCAATAACTCCACTGACTTCAGATGATAATATGACCCATGGTTGTATTACCTGAGACTTTCCCAGATGTTTTTGGATTGCTAAAAACCTTTCAAATCTCATGCCTTGGGGGTATGAAACTAAAGAAGTAGTCATTTATAAAATACTTTCATTTTGAAAAATGATGGTACCATTAGTGTAGAAATCTTATGCTTCTGAAGACTGTAAAAATTCTATATACAAATAAAGATCTCCTTTTAAAAACCAATTTGCTACAGACTATGTTCAAATATCTTCAGACATGTAGGGAAGTATATTTAAGATCTCTATGGACAAAAAAAATCTGAAATTCAGAAAGAAATAAAAAACTGCAGATAGTTAGGTACATATCCCTTTAAAATGATTTCAATGATGGCAAAGTTTTTTAAATGAACAAAATTTTTCATTACAAAAGTATACATACTATTCCCTTGAGAGGTACAATTACTGATTTAAGTAAAAACAAAAAAATTTAGTAGTTCTTACCTAGACCAATAATGGCTTTTGTTTGTACTTCTTCATCTGAATGTTTTGTAAAATACATCAGCAGTTCAAGTACTTTGTCCTTAATGTTAACCTAGCAAAATTAAAACAAAAATATTGGTGACAAAGAGAAGCAGCTAATTTTTAGATTCCACTTAAAGCAATATATAGAAAACCTAACTGCAAAGTGTAATATATACCACTGACACCAGAGCTTCCCCAAACTAAAATAAATTGTTGTGAAATACAAGTATAGTCTGGTTTCACTGTGAAGATTTCTCTTTACTGTTTAAAATTACCAAAACTATTCTGTTCTATTTACAAGTTACATTTTTTTAACCTTACATATGAAACTTAAGACATTTAGCAAGCGCAGTATATTTTACCTTACTGTTGCCTTTAAAATCTTCCTGATCAAAATCAAAATGGCGACACAATGCTCCAACAGTGAAAAGAGATCTAAGGAGTGCTGATTTATTGGCTGTAAGTATAGTACTGTTTGGGTCTTCTTGGTGTTGACTTTTTAATTTTGAAAGTGCACCTAAAGTAAGAGAAAAGATTTAATCATAGCAAATACTAAACTCCTGAAATGACATGCATAACCAAAACTTTTATAAAATAGTTTAAAAATAGTATGCTCTCACATTTAACTTACCATAGTATCTATTAAAACAGGCCCACACAAATTTATAATTTTGAGTAACCTTGTTTACCACAGCCCCAAGACAGCTCACACAGTGCTGCACTACCTGAAAATAAGACAGAAAATATTTATACCCATTTATTTAGAAGTCAGGAGAGATTTTCTGAGCAGTTTAGAAATATAAAAACAGTTTATTCATTTAAAACAAATGGAAGATAAAGGTCTAGATCTTCAAGACTACTCTGAAAATCTCAGTCCAAGTGAATAACTAAAACTGTAAATACACAAACTCCAGTAGATCAAGAAAGTTAGTTGGCCATTTAAACTACCACAGGGATAGCCAGCTTTTCATAATTGCTGTTCAAATATTAATAGGGAAGAAATATTCATGAGTTCATAATAAATAATTTCTCCATATTCCAGATCCAACTGAACAAAAACTATTACATTAAATGAAAAAGTAGAAATTAAATCTTACTGTCATGCCATATTTGATTATAAGTTTCATGAGATCTTCCTCAATAGTGGCAAGAAAGGTCTCACTTGGATGCTCCATCAGTGGCACCACCAGCTCTAATATTTTTGCAACATTGCAGATCACCATGAAATCATTTTGGGTCTGTAAGAAGAATATTTACAATGATTAAAGATTTTCAACATTTTCCTGTGTAAGAGTTAAGTAATGTTAATGTTATTTCATTTCATTAATAAACCTCAGTTTGTTCGATAAAAGTCTACACTGATAATCAAAGATCTAACTTTTCTGTGAAGTATGCTGTGTGTATGCAGCAGGGATGTAAGCAACTAGTTGACTATCCAATGAGCACAAGCTTATCGGATAGTCAACCAGTGATTCAACTAGTTGCTCCCTCCCCTTCCCGCCTTCTGCTGCCTCTATCAGAGACATGGGGGAGGGGAGAGAAGACAACTGAAAAGCCGGCTCCCCCCAGCACTGTCTCTGGAGTGTTGCATGCTTACAGAGGTGGCAGAGGGGTTAGGGGAAGCTTCTGCGAAGCAGCCCATGTCCTCGGGGCACCCAGAGGGGAGCTGGGCACCCCCCGCAGACAGGAGCTGCTGCCACTGAGCAATCCCTGTTCAGAGCAGCCAGGGCTGCTCACAGTGAACAAGAGCTGCTCTAGCACCAGCCCATTTGCAACAGACAGGGCTGCCCACAGTCCTGGCTCATGCTAATCACTGTGCCTCTGCATTTTAAATGTAGTAAGAGCCGTGAACCACCCTGCTCTTAATACATTTAAAATGCAGAGCTGCAGTGTGGGTGGCTCCTGGAGCCAGCATAAGCTAGGACTGCTCAGTCTTAGCTCAGGCTAGCTCCTGGAGCTACTCCCACTGTGACTCTGCAGAGTGGTCCTATTGCCTAATCGTATAGTCGATACAAATCATACTGACTATACAATTAGCCCAATAACCACATTTTAATATCCTTAGACTGTGGTAGCATTTTTCCCTATGAAAAATGTGGCTAAAAGTTTAAATACAATACAAATTTATTACCATGATTAAAAGCACTGCTATACTATTAACATCAAGTTTAAACTGACATTTTTAATTACTAATGCAATACTTTTTCAACAAAGTGAGTGTGTCCCAGTGGAATAATTGTTCTATTCTTAATGTTATCTTTGGTAATTATTATTTTTCAATTAATTATTACAAAACTTTTCATAATATATGTTAAGCATAACAGGAATGCTGAAATCCTACACAAACGAGGAAATACAGAGCAACCTAGATTTTGTCAATTTAAATATTAGATAACATTTCATGAAATAGGTACATATGGGAAGAGGGAAGATCTAGGAGGACTGAAAGGCAAGTTCCCAAAGGGGAAAGAAAGAGAACTCTGACAAATTGGAAGATTTGGTTTTTAGAAATTAGACAGGATGAAATAAAATATGTATTTAAGCTACTCAGCAATACAAGCAACATATTAAACAGCTTCTTATTATTTTCCTCTGATTAAAAAATGTTATAGATTTTCAAAATGTTAGCAGAAACTTCAGTTGGTAGGGACTTTAAAAGGGCAAAGAAGCCTGCATTAAATTCAATCAAGATAGAGGAACCTGAACCTAATCTTATTCTAAGAGAAGGGAATAGCCAGCATGATAGGTTAGGAATGAAATCAAAATTTTTATTTCAGCCCTGAAAAGAGAAGAAATTTGGAGTTGTTTGTACCAATATACCCAAAAACGATACTTCAGAGTACATGCTGTTCCATCTTGAAGCTTGAGCATATTTCACATAGGCAAAGTAGAGCTTTGGATGCTGACTATTCTTTGGAGCCCTGGAATGAATTTTTAAACTCTTCTGGCTTGTCTGCCCAAGAGCAGTGGTTCTCAACCAGGGGTATGTGTACTTCTGGGTATATGCAGCAGTCTTCCAAAGGATACATCAGTTCATCTAAATATTTGCCTAGTTTTACAACAGACTACATAAAAAGCACTGGAGAAGTCATTAAGAACTAATATTTCATACAGATAATGAATTTGTTTTATACTGTTCTATATACTAACTATAAATACGGTATTTATATTCTAGTTGATTTATTTTATGTTAAAATTAAAAAAAAACAATTTTCCAGTAACAGTGTGCTGATACACTTGTATTTTTATGTCTGATTTTCTAAGCAAGTAGTTTTTTTAAGTGAGGAGAAACTTAGGGGTGGCCACGACAAATCAGACTCCTGAAAGGGGTAGAATAGTTGGAAAAAGCTGAGTCACTGCCCTAGAGAATGATATCTGGTACTAGCAAGATATGAAGATGAACTGGGGATGAATGTGATTTAATTACAAGTATAGATAAAGACAGTGTTTATGGCATTTCAGAAACCATGATTAAAAGAACTGATCTGATGAAAGATTACTAGCTAATGGGCCTAAAAAGAATACACGTCACAAGTGAGGAATCCACAGAAGAAATTCTCAAAGCAAGTAATAATTGCCAGTTCACTTCACAGTCACTAAAATGTTTTGTTAACCTTTTGACACTAGAAGTTACAGTTTCCCAATGTGCATCTCATTAATCACAATGGGATATGCTATAATCACCAGGTAGAGTGTTATAAATAAATTTTAGAATTCATCTGAAGCTGCACATAGGAAGCTTGTGTACAGTCCACTGAGTAGATATTGCAGCATTTAAATCCCTCTACCCTACTTAGTACAGCTTGGTATATTGTTTAATCAGAAGAGACTACACCTAATCTTATACCAAAAGTACTTGCAGACATTGCTAGATGACAGTCTTGCTATCATGATATTCTCCATCCACAAGCATGTGAATAGGGAAGAGGCCTAGAGATAATTAATGACTGATAAAATGACAAGTATTCTCAGATCAAAAGACCAGAATAGAAATTCTGAAGTTAGTGACAGAGCTAACGTTAACTCTCAAGGGTGCCAGGAATTTACTGTAGAAGTTTACACAAAACCTTATAGAAACAGCAACACTCACAATGGGTTCCTTGCCAAATTGCTACCATAATCAGCAATGTGTATGTAAAGCAAAGACAGGGAATGGCATTTACATATGAAAACTGACAACACTGGAATTTTTAGCTTTAGGAAAAAAAGATGATTGAGGTGAAATGATTGAAACTAGCTTATGGTTATTAATTACAACATTAAGCTTGAATATGTATTTATGGTAATTGGAAACATCAATAGGATAAAAGGTTTAAATTAACATGATAGATACATAAAATTGAATGTCTATCATATATAGACAAAATGGTGAATAAGTGGTTTGAACTTTAAAAGGGAATAGTTGCATTAGGTATTTTTGCAAAATTGGATGACTATTGAAAATATTATAATGGCACATTGGTCAGTTTTCTGCTGAGGGGCATACAAAGCCAGGAAGTAAATTTTATTAAAATAAAGGTTAAATACACTTTAAATAAAATACTCTGGTACTTATTTTCTTTTTTAAATCTTACAAATAAGTATGCTTTTAATGTTTAACCAAGTTCTTGTAGTTCACCCTTTGAGAAAAAAGAAAATGTAAAGCAGACTTCTCTGTATCCAATAATTTTGAAAAGCACACTTTTATTTAGTGCTCTAAGGATGACAAAAGGTTCTCTCATATCTTCAGGACTGAAAACAGCCATGTAGTGAAAATATTGTTACTTTTTTTTTAAAACAATCCCACCCTCAATTTCATCATGCATTTAAGATAACCCTTGACTTCCATAATTATTTTGATGAAAGAAGACTTTAGTTTCCTATACTTACACTACATTTAGTGGTAAGGTATGGCTGCATGGTCATGGCATGTTTGACCATTAGCTGGGGCCTGATTTTGCTGAATAAGAACAAAGTGGTTATGCAAGCTACCAAGCGACCAGAATTCACACCCTTGTTGTCAGAGTCTGCAAAAATTAGAAAATATATTAAGTATATTCAAATCAAGGACTGTTCTGTCAATAACAAAAACGGATAGTAAATAAACACAGCATATAAAAATCACTTTCACTGATAATGTATCTTTGAAAAAATAGCATATAAATTCATTAGATAAGAAAACTTGGATTCACAGACAAAAATGCTAGCACATCAAGAAATATGCAAAATAATAAGTAAAGCTCCTTTGAAGTTTCCACTAATTTTTAAACCACTTATTTTTCCAGGCCACAGGCTCAGCCAATGATTCTGTAATGAATGTAAAACAGAATAATGCAAACAAAACTTGGATTCATAACAAAAACTTTCCTAATATGAAATAATTTGTTTTATTTTTAGGTCACTGAAAAGTTTCCAAAAAATGTAAAACAGGTAGCTTGGTTAATGAGGTTAGCTAGTGATTATGAGTGTGCCTTCTAACACTTTTGGGAAAGTTGATGATTAATTTTGGATGTTTTTGCTACTGGATTTGAACTGCAGTAGATTGTGAGTTCCCTTGTAAACTGTCTAATTTCTGTTCTTTGTAATCCCCTTGCACTATTTAGGTAACGTCCTTACTCATAACTGTGTTGAAGTGGTTCATTCTGTCAAACCCTATGGAATGATCTAGTGAATTAAGTCCCAGTTAAGCCATCTTGTGGAGATGTACACAAAAATTTTCATTCAAGGATCTAAAAGCACTCTGGAACACTACATCAACTCTTTATTTGTGAGGTTCACCTTTCCTCACCAAAACAGCAACATCAAGATCTTCTGTATAAGAAAAGAAGGGAGGAGGTGAGTAGGTGGCAGGAAAACTAAAAAAAGAAAAAAAATTGTGGTTCATATAACACGCGTCCTAAACTTTGACACATACTGTGTGACCTTGACCAGAAAGCTTAATCTCTCTACCCCTCTGTTTTTGCATCTGTTAAATACAGATGATAAAATATACCTAATTAATAGGTTGTGACACTAAATTACTGTTTCTGATGTACAAGGATTACTGGATCATCAAAGGTGTGCTTGTAATAGGAAAGCATTATTATATTTGAATAAATACAAAGCATCTATATCTCTTCCTAATCACAATCATTCCTTCATATAACATTTAGAATTATGCAAATCTTTAAGCCTGTTTCTATCTTGAGTATTTTTGCTTCTTGCAGCTCTAGAAATCTTACACCTTATGCCTTATTTTGGTTTCTATTAAGGCTCTTCCACATTGCTCTGGCAGTGTAAGTGGCCTTTCAAATACGCAAAGTACTGTAAAATTCCAGAACAGTGTACAGAGATCTTCATATAATGAGAATCTGGCCTTATATACACTTTGTGATTATGTTATGTATACTCTGCTGTGCAAACCATGGTGGGTATGGTTTATGTCTGCAAGCTGAACAGGGCAAAGAAAAGCATTCATTGAATTAATATATCAATTAGCTGTGAATTTTAAAGATGTATCTTTATTATCTAGATAAGATTGTGGGACACAGAGGCAGAATTACAACTACTTATATAGCTTGTAGGCTGCTGTATTTTCATATTTTCAATGTTTGTGAGGAAAGACTTAAGAACCACAAGTTCTATTAAGGATTTTCCTCATCCCTTTAATCTATGGATATGTATTTATAATCTTAGATCAGTCTAACCAAGTTTCCGGTTTAGGAATAATAGTACTGTTATTAACCAATTATACTGCTTTATATAGTCAAATAGCTTTGGTAATATTATTCAAAACTCAGAGAGATCACATAACAAAATCCACGTGTCAGATAAAGGCAAATGAAAGCATAGTGAGATTATGTAACTTGTTCAAGATCACACAGCAAATCAGAGTTGGGAAGGCACTGACTTAACCCATTAGACCTGGCTATCACTTAAATGAGAGAGAACACAATCTAAATGAAGTATGTGCAGCAACATCTACAGCCATTGTGTATATAATCCAAAACATTCCCCATTACTCTAACAAAACAAAATCTCTTAATACTTCACGTTGTATCAAAAGCTGCAAGTTGGACTTGAATATCGTACATTAGGTAATTTTGTAACAAGCAATTGTACTGTTTATGAAAAAATATGAGAAATGAAATTTGCAATTTTAAGAGACTTCTAAAGATAAAACCTTGTAGTTGAAATGTATACTTATGATAAATGTTAAACAATATGCATCTAAACTTTCTTTAGCACAAAATGCACAAGTGAAAGTTACCATTTATCCCAAATGGGAGTTAGCTACTCAAAGATTTAGGAGTTCTAAATAGCTACAAGAGGAAGTCATTTCTTAAAATCTTTGACATATCAGGCACACTGCTTGGTAAAACAATGCTAAAAAAGGATACATTATGACAACCATGTGTGGATGAAACAATAACCTGTGGTAATTTATACTGTTCATACATAACAGATTCATAGCTTAAGACTAGAAGGTACTATTAGATCACCTAGTCCAGTGGTTCTCAGAGTAAGGGTCATGACCCGGTACTGGGTTGCCTTGCTGTTGGGTGACTCGACAACGTGCAGGAGTGCCAAGGTAGGTTTCCCATCAGTCTTGGCACTGTGTACCATGCTGTGCCCCAGAAGTGAACAGCAGAAGGTCTGGCTCCTAGATGGGGGAGCCACAGGGATGCCAAGTTCCACCAATGGGAACTGCGGAGGTTGGTTCCCGTGGGTGAGAGCAGTACTCAGAGCCAATTGTGCACCTTTGCCCAGGAGCCAGACCTGCTGCTGGCTCCTTCTGAGGTGCAACATAGTCCACAGAGCCAGCACAGGCAGGAAATCTGCCTTAGCACCCCCACTGAGCCACTGACTGGGAGCCACAGGTAAGACCATGCCCCAATCTGCTGTCCCAGCCCTGCGCTCTTCCCAAACCCACTGTCTCCTCTTGCACCCCAAAACCCTCATTCTGACCCCATTCTTGGGCCCGCACTCTAGTCAAAAGACTTAATTATGTTGAGTCACTGGCATCAACAATTTTTTTCAACTGGGTCATGAGAAAAAAATTGCAAATTTAATCTGAGATCTGGCACATCACAGGTAATTAAATTTATCCTAATTATTCCTATATTAAATCTAATAATTTCTGTTTCTTTATATCTTCACAAAAGCCATCCAGTTTGTTCTGAATACATCAGGAGTTCGAGGAGCCAACTCTTCCCTTGATAGTTTATTCAATCAGCTAATCCACTCTGATGTTAAATTGTGCCTTATTTCTAATTTGAATTGGTCCCTCTTAAGCTTCCTGCCATGTTCTTGTCAAGTCTTAAAACAACATTCTGCACTCCTTAACTTATTCACAACTATCATTTTTAAATAGAACTATAGATTTTTAAAAACGTTAGTGTCTGATACAGGAATACTTTTGGATTATAAGTAAGTAACTACATTACCTGCTAGAGATTCCTCATATTTAAGAATGTGCTCAACTAGATTATCAACAAGTTGAGTACAGGCTTTCTTCACAGGTTTATATGAGGCATCTTCTTCTGACTTTAAAAGCTATTACAGACAGAAAGACACAAGATAATTAAGATTTAATATAGATTGCAACACACCAAATTCTCATAATTTCCATTTAAATGTATGATACATTTGTAACAATTATCATAGATAAAGAAGGATTTCATGTTATATATATAGTTATCCAAGTTCTTCCTAAGAAGCCCTGAAAAAATTTGTGGAGGCAAAAAATTAAAACTATTAGCAAAATGAATATTACATTTGAGTGCCCTACATTTAAAAGAATTAAGCTGTAGGGCAGTAAGCATAGCTCATTGTCATTGTTTAACATGTGTAATGCTATCTTCCTCACCGATAAGACAATGCTCAAAATGCTAACACTCATGTTTCTGTTGTCCACATATATTAAGGCGTCTTTTAATGCAGATGAAAATAAAGAGGAAAATGCAGCTCCTCTGGGGATTTCAGGTGGTTCATGTATCCTGCTGTACGAACACTTGCAGTAACATAAGAAATGTATCTACTAGCTATCACTCTCAACAAATACAAGAAGTAATCAGAAAACTGGGAAAGCATAAAGCGAGTATTTACAGATTGGGATTTTCAAAGGCCCATAAAAAGTTATAGAAATGTAGCCGTGTTAGTCTGGTGTAGCTGAAGTAAAAGTGCTACATAGTCCTGTATTTTGCTTCATAAAAAGTTAGGCACTGATTTATATTTAACTTACATGGGAACTGGGCACCTAACCTGCTTAGGTTACATTAAAAAACCCCAGCCAGTCTCGAAAATGGGTGAAAAAAAAGATAACAGTTAAAATAATAATTGGTCAACTTAATGTAAATACTGAGTAAATATAACAATATATAAAGCCAGATTCTGTGGAGGACAATGGAAAATGCTCTTGCTCCAGCAGAAAACAGATTGAATGGGTCTTTCTCCCTAGGTAGTTACAGAGTGTCTGCTTGAGGACACCCAAGGCTGGGATATAGTTGAAGACTACATCACTAAATGGGTGGGTTATATGAATGGGTATGGGGCCAGGTTCCACAAGAGAACCAGTAGGACAGATCCAGTGGATGCTGCAGAGGGCCTCATGATGTGGGAAATCAGTAGTTCCTATGTTGTTGTAGACGATGGGAATACAAGCATGCCTCCTTCCCTATGCTGATGTCTTTGGCACAGTCTAATACCTACAGGTGGGTACTGAGGTGAGGGGGTAAATAGGGATGCCAGATGGTTTAACAAAAATTACCAACCCCCCCCCCCCTAAAAAACCACACAAAACACGAGGAAAAAATTCTGTTGAGGGAAAAAAAAAAGGGGAGACCAAAGTTGCTGAGAAAAAAAAAAAGGCGCTGAGCCTTTAAATGGCCCCATGCTCCTCAATCCCCCTCCTACACCAGACGCAGCAAGGAAAAATTTGTCCCTGACGGGCTTCCATCTGAGGGAAACAGGAAATACCAGACATTTCACATGACCAGTATTTTCTTTTTTTTATTTTTTTTTCCCAGACACGGGATCTGAATAACAGGCAGTCCGGACGAAAACCGGACACCTGGCAACCACAGGGCTAAACAGGATTAACTAAATCTCAGTTCTACTAAAAATAATACTAAAAGCTAAAACTATGTTCAAATCTAAATACTAAAAGCTAAAACTACGTTGAAAACAGTAAAAACAGCAAACACTATCAAGAAAAAACTATATACTATTCGAAACTTTTTAATATGCATCATATTATATGCATGAGAGGACACGAATAGCTCTGAGTTGGACCATGAAATCGTGAGAGGGAACCAGAGATATGGCCAGTCAGCTGGCCTTTTATCACCTGGACAAAACAAGGAGATGAGGCAAGACAAGGGTTCATGTGCAGACCCTAACAGACTACTACTATCAAGTCATCCAGCTCTGAATGCATAGTGCAGATGTCAAGTATCAGAGGGGTAGCCGTATTAGTCTGAATCTGCAAAAGCGACGAGGGATCTTCTGGCACTTTATAAACTAACAGATTTATTGGAGCATAAGCTTTCGTGGACAAAGACCCACTTCATCAGATGCATGCAGATGTGTAAATGTTCAGGGGAAAACTAGGGACCATTACTTGAACAAGAACTAGTATTAGGTACAAGCGCAGCACTAAAGGAAGGATAGATCTTTTAAAGTCAAAAGAATGTTAGATTTTACAATTAGAATAACAGTGTAAATCACTACTCTAGAAGTCCATTGGATTACATTTTAGCCATAGGTTCCATGAAACATGCTAAGATTCTTTTGACTCTTGTGAAATGAGTCTTTCAAAACCCCTTACTTACATTTTGAAGAAGTTGTTCAAACCAATCATATCCTGTATCTCTACAAGCTGCGACCTAAAAAAGAATATTTGGAATAGATTTATAAAAAAAAAAGAAATAGGAAGAAAAATGTAACTGAAGTATTTCAACATAGGTTTACATTTAAATTAAAATAAGTAATTTTCCTTTACTAAAATTTTTTTAGATGGTAAGATATCAGAAACAGAAAGTATGTATTCTGTATTTCATTCTCTCTCTCCCCCCATATTTTAGATGCTACCATGTACAAAATAAAAAAAGTCTCAGTTGTAGTGTTACTATCTGATCAAATTGGAGTTACATTTTAAGTTTTATGAAACCTAGTTTTTGCAAAGCTTAACAGCTAATAAAACAAATGACATATTTCAAATGCCCCAAAATGCATTTTTAAACAAGCATTGCTGAACTGTGTTAGCTCATGAGAACATGAAGGTAACACTGACTAGACTAAATGAAAGTGTCACTGATCAGTCTCTTTTTATTGTCCAAGATCCAAGTAATGCATATACCCCTGTTTAGTACAAATATAGAAATACACCTAATCAAATCCTGCATGTGACTGTTCAAATGTTAGAGACATACCACATCAGTGATGTTTAGTATTTTCCTGGTCATTGCTTCTTTGTCATTGTGGGGAGTTGGAGTAAACCAGAGTTTCTGGAATGTCTCATTTACCAGTTTCTAAAAGGAAAAAAATGTTGTCAGACACACTTAACTTTATCTTTATATAAAAGTTTCCATATTATTTCTCAATATAATCATTGATGATGTGTTGTTTTACACAGAACTATTGGAGTGACGTGAGGCCTTCTAGAAAGAGATGGTTACATAAGCAAGACCTTTATCTCTATTTTAGAAGTTGAATTCCCAGACCAGGTCTCAGTCACATTGGACTTCCAAGCTGTATCTGAGGTCACCATTGGCTGGATAGTTAATAATGACCAAGGGAAATCCATGATGCAGAAAATCCACACTACAGCAACATTTGTGAAACGTGCCATTTTCAGCGTTTTACTGACAGATTTTGAGAGACTGGAATAATTGTTACAAGTTTCAGAAAACCATTACTGCAATTCCCTCGTGATTCACTATAGCTTGCAAACCCCAGGATGGCAAAATAATAACTGAACACAGAAACATTTTATGGTCAGGTTGCATCTGCCACAAAAGCAGTAAAAGCATAATGGGAATACACAGGAGCTGCCAAAGCAGTTGTAACAAGGTTGGGGGAGAAGAGAGCTAGACCCACCCCAAGTGGCTCATTCTTCTTTGGGTATCACAGTAGGTAGGACCCATTCAACTTTAAGTTGGGGGGGCAAGGAAGTGAAAAAGAGAAAGCAATGCCAGGTTCCCCCAACTCAGTATGTGCCCATTGGGGCACCACATGCAGCAGGAACTTTTGAGAAGTGGGAAAGGAAGAAAAAGAGCCAGGCCAGATTTCCCTGCCATCCCAGCACATAGATCTAACTGTTCATTTCCCCCCTTTTTAAGTACATAATCACTTTTTTTCCTATTAGGATCCTTGTTTCATTCAGTGTACAGAAAGAACAGAATAAAAATAACACGCTTTTAATGTAGGTTTTTGTGATTTTTTTTTAAAGAGTCACAGAATCATAGGGTTGAAAGAGACCTCAGGAGGTCAAGTCTACCCCCCTGCTAGCTAAAAGCAGGACCAATCCCAACTAAATCATTTGTCAGAGCTTTGTCAAACCAGGGCTTAAAAACCTCTAGGGATGGAGATTCCATCAATTCCTTAGATAACTTATTCCAGTGCTTCAATATCCTTGTAGATAGTTTTTTTCTAATATCTGACTTAGGCCTTTCCAACTGCAACTTGAGATCATTGCTCCTCATTTTGACATCTGTCATCACTGAGCAAAGTCTCTCTCCCTCCTGTTTGGAATCCCCCTTCAGGTAGTTGAAGGCTTTGCTCCAATCCCCCCTCACTCTTTCTTCTGTAGACTAAACAAGCCCAAATCCCTCAGCCTCTCCTCATAAGTCATGTATTGGATGAAATTCTCCAGATATTGCCTCATCAGTTCCAAATAAAGGGGAAGAGAGGGTTACTCACCTTTTGCCGTAACTGAGATTCTTCAAGATGGTTGTCCCTGAGAGTGCTCCACCTCAGGTGTTTTTGGCGCTGTTGTGCCTTCAGTTGGAGACTTAAAACAGCAGTGCCTTGGTCAGCTGGCACCACACCATTTGAAATAGCTACTGTGCATGCACAGTGAACTGACCCCTTAGTTCCTCCTCTGCCCAGAAATAAAGGAATTCCTGAGCAGAGAGGAGGAAGGGTGGGTGGTGGAGCACACAGAGACAACCTCAGTTACTGCACAAGGTGAGTAACTCTCTCCTTCTTCGAGGAGTGTCCCTGTGGGTGCTAGGGATTTGAGCTAGTCGGCTAACCAATAAACCTAGGCTTATTGGTTAGTCGAGTCGACTACTCACATTTCCTCCCCACCTCCACTGGCTCTGTATCAGGGGGCAGAAGGTAGTCAGGTCGGCTGATGCTAGGGGGAGTCTCCTTAAAAGCCAATTCCCCCCAGCACCCTCTCCAACCCCCTACTGCTGCTGCCTCAGGGGAGGGGGGGATCTCAAGGGGAGACTGATGCGAAGCCGCCTCTGCCCGTGGCAGGCCCAGGGCTCACCACATACAGGGGCTGTTGCAGGAACAGCCTCTGCCTGCAGTCAGCCTGGGCTGCTGCAGACAGAGGCTGAGGCTGCTCTGGCCAGGCAGGCGGACCTACCCCAGTTACGGCTCTGCAGTTTAAATGCAAAAACCGGGCAGGCAGGCAGCCCAGTTGTTAGTGCATTTAAACTGTAGAGCTGCAGGAGTGGTAGCTCCTGGAACCAGCGTGAGCGGGGCTTGCTCTGTCCCGGACCATGCTGGTTCTGGCACCCATCCCTGCTGCAGCTCTGCAGTTTAAATGTAGTAGGAGCCGGGCTAGCTATCTGCCTGACTCTCACTACGCTTAAACTGCATAGTCACAGTGGGAGTAGCTCCTGGACCTGACATGAGCCACGACTGTGTGCTTCAATTATATGAATTACCCACCTCTTAACATCCTTAGTGGGTGCTCCATATAGGTTATTATGAAGCAGTAATTTTGCTTGGTGGAAAGAGCTCCAGAAGTCTGTATGTACTGTGGACAATATAGCATGTCCAAACTGGGTATCTGTAGCTGCATAAGAACCTATGGCATGATGTTGTGTAAAGGTGTGGACAGAAGCCCATGTAGCAGCTCTGCAGCTATCTCTCAGAGGTACATTTGTGAGGAATGCAGTAGAAACTGCCATTGCTCTGGTAGAATGTGTCCTTATAGTTGTTGGGGGCTCACGGTTGACTAAAGAATATAAGAGGTGGATACAGACTGATATCCATGTGGATAACCTCTGTTTGGAGATGGGTGTGCCCTGTGATCTTTCTGTAACAGATATAAAAAATCTGGAATACTTCAGAAAAGGTTTGGTTCTTTGTAACTAAAAGGCCAACACCCTACAGATGTCCAAGGTGTGAATCATGGTTTCACTGTTGTTGGCATGAGCTTGGGAAAAAAGACAGATAAGTATATGGACTCATTGCAGTGGAAAGAAGTAGGTACTTTGGGAGAAATTTAGGGTGTTGGCAGAGGGCAACTTTGTCTTTAAGGAATATAGTATAAGTGTGTGGGGGGTCCTGTTGTCAGAGCCACCAGTTCACCAACTCTGCGCGCTGACGTAATAGCCACTAAAACATTACTTTCATGTATAAGAGCAATAAGGAGCATGTAGTCATAGGTTCGAAGGGCTTCCCAAAGAGTGCTCTAAACACCAGGTTTAGGTACCAGGCTGGAATTGGGACTTTAAATCAGCGGGTATATGTTTTCTACTCCATTCATAAAATGTTTAACCATGCAGTGTGCGTATACAGAGTTTGTCAATTGCGGAATGTAACATTGTAATTTCCATGAGATGCACTCTTATAGAGATGAGGGAGAGCCCTGTGTCCTTGAATGATAACAGGTATTGTAGAATTCTGGGAAGGTCAGCTAGCAATGACAAAACATTGCGCAATTGGCACCATCTATGCCACTTATGTCCCTTTCTTGTAGTTGGTCTACGAGAATTTAGGAGAATCTTCTGTACAGGGGCTGAACACGCTGATTCTAGAGGTGTCAGCCAGTGGTGAGCCATGTTGGAATGACAAAGCTTGTCTCCCATCCTGTGAGTGGAGACTGAAGGAAAACGCCATGCAGGAGACTGGATCATCTGAAGCAGGTAAGGGAAACAAGTCAGTCTGAGTCAATTGGGATCTACCAGGATAACCCTGGCTCTGCCCTGCTTTATTTGGAAACTTTGTGAAGCAGGGGCAACGGTGGGAAAGCATACAGCAGAGTTGTGTCCCCCTTTATCGTGAATGTGTCCTCTAGTGATTGGGGATTGAGGCTGGCCCTGGAACAGTACTTGGTGCACTTGGTTTGGGAGCTGTTCCCAATCTGGTCTATAATGGAGTACCCCCATAGTTTGAATACAAGTTTCAAAATACTTCGATTGATCTTCCATTCATAGTTTAAACAGTCTGCTGAGGTTGTCCACCAGGATGTTGTCTTTTCCTAGGAGGTAAGATGCCTTGCATGTGATATTGCAAGGAATGCACCACTCCCAGGATACGTCTAAACTACATGGATCCGTCGACGGAGCCATGTAGATTTGTTGTTTTGGCAAAGGCAAATGAAGACGCGATTTAAATGATCGCGGCTTCATTTAAATTTACATGGCTGCCGCGCTGAGCCGACAAACAGCTGATCAGACATCAGTGTGGAGACATCAAAGCCCTTTGTTGGCAGCCCCAGTAAACCTCATCCCACGGGGAATAACGGGGCTGCCGTCAAAGGGCTTTGATGTCGGCAGGGGAGCGTCCAGTCTAGCGCGCTGAGCGGACAAACAGCTGATCAGCTGTTTGTCGGCTCAGCGCGGCAGCCATGTAAATTTAAATGAAGCCGCGATCATTTAAATCGCGGCTTCATTTGCCTTTGCCTATGTGTCTAATTTACATGCCTCTGAAAACAGAGGCATGTAGTCTAGACACAGCCCCAGAGATGGACTGCTTTTTGACATAGTGGGTAGGATAAGGCTCTGCCCTGGCGGTTGATCTAAAACACTGTTGTCAGGTTGTCCATAAATATGTGTACTGATTTCTTGTGAATGAGGCTGGCAAATTGCTGGCAGGCATTGTGAACCATCTGGAGTTTCAAGAAGTTGATATGAAGTTTGGACTCCTCTGGTGATCACTGACCCTGAATGACTTGTTGACCGATGTGAGCTCCCCACCCTAGTAGTGATGCATCCGTGGTTAGTGTCACCAACGGTGGCGAGGGATGAAAGGGGACTCCTTTGCAGGTGTTGTCTGACTGTCTACCAGGAGAGGGATTCTTTCATCCTTGAAGGCATGGATAGACATTTGTTTATGTGGTGAACATGTGGCTTGTAGACAGTGTGGAGACAAACTTTTAATGGTCTCATGGAGATGAGCATGTGGTACGAATGTAGCTGCTATCATATGTCCCAGGAGCTGGAGACCAAGTTTTTCTGAGACCTGTGGGCTGTGTTGAGACTGGCCTATCAAGTCCATGAGTGCTGTCACTCTGGCCAATGGTAGTAATGCCATCGTAATTGTATAGTCGAGGTGGGTCCCTATGAACACGAGACTCTGTGTTGGAGTCAGTGAGCACTTTTGAAGGTTGAGTTTTAGTCCCACCACCCGTTGTGCATCCTGAAAGGAGGATCCTTTCAGTAGGCAGTCATCCAAGTATGGGAAGATAATTTCCATTCTGTTGGAAGGTGAGGTGCAGCTACCAGTAAAACTCTGGAACAAACTCTTGGTGCTCTGGAAAGCCCAAAGGGAAGTACTGCATATTGAAAGTGATGGTGATGGACTGCAACACATAGGAAATGACTGTGTGCAGGTGTATCGAGATTCGGAAGTATGCCTCTGTAGGTCGAGGGTAGACAGCCAGACCTCCTTCACTAAGGCTGAAATTATCGTAGTGAGGGTTACCATTTTGAAGCATTGTGCGCCAACAAAGCAGTTGAGATTGCGTAAATCGAGGATAGGTTTCCACCCTCCATTCTTTTGTGAGAAAGTAGTGAGAGTAAAACCCTTTCTCCCTTTGTTGCATTGGTACCTGTTCTATCACCCTGAGCTGAAGAAGGCGTTCCAGCTCTTGCATAAGGGCAGATTCATGAGATAGGTCCCTGAAGAGGGGTGGGTAAGAAGGGTGGATAATGGGAGTGGACAGAAATGGGATATAGAAACTATTGCATACTATTTCTAACACCCACTTGTCTGTGGTGATGTCTGACCACAAGATGCTAGCCTGGCTCCAAACTGAGTATAGGGAGGTAAAACCTGCCTTAGAGAGTTTGGGACTGTCCTGTCCTTGACCAGCTCTTCAAAAGCCCTGTCTTGAAGTTGAGGGTTGGGAAAATGCCGGTTGGTCCATGACTGCCTGCGAGAACCCCGGTGCTGTTTGCGCAGTTGTCGAAATATCTCTGGGGTTGTGAGAACAAGGTTGGTTGGTACCTCTGATTGAATGCTCTACACTGCTTCCTCTTTGTTGCAGGTACGTGTATTCCTAAGGTTCTCAGGGTAGATCTGGAATCCTTCATGGTATGTAATGCTGCATCTGCTGATTCTGCAAACAGCTTAGAGCCCTCAAATGGGAGATCATCTACTATGGCTTGCACTTCTTTTGGAAAGCTGAACAGTTGTAGCCAAGATTCCTTCCTCATAACTACAGCCATGGAGATGGAATGTGCCACTGTATCGGCTGAGTCATGTGCAACCTGGAGAGCAGTGCGTGAGATAAGCATGCCTTCATTTATGTTGGACTTGAACTGTTCCCTCTTGTTGTCTGGAAGCTATTCAGTAAAAGGTGTCATCTGCTCAAATATGTTGTGAGTGTATTTTGTAAGCAGTGAAGCATAGTTGGCTCTCCTTAGCTGTAGGGTAGTGGAAGAGTAGACTTTTCTCCCAAGGAGGTCAAGCTTCTGCTATTTTCTGTCATATAGAGTGGTATATGATAGTGGTAAGCTTGCTGCTTGCTCCTCTGATTGACAGCCTGTATCACTAGGGAGTTCGGTGTGGAATGGGAGAATAATAAGTCCTGTGCTGCAATGTAATATTTCTTGTCAGACCTTTCGCAGGTGGGTGGTATGGTGGCTGGCATCTGCCACATTGTTTTTGCTGGATCAATGAGTGCGGTGTTCATAGGCAACATCAGCATGGCAGCTGGGGAGTTATGAAGAATGTTTGTTAACTTCTGCTGGGTCTCTGATAAGTTAATAAGTGATCCAGGGCATCCACTACCCTCCTGTACAGCTCCTGGAACAATCTGAAATCATATCTTGAGGCATCGGCATTATTGCATTTTCTGGTGACGAGGACAATATATGGGTGGGTGGTGGAGAGTCTAGTGGTGATTCCTCT